TTTAAGGGCAAAAGAAGATTCCTTATCAGTCAGAATCCCCAAGTGTGGATTTCTCATCACTGAAGGCGTTGTACTTTGTAGCAAATTCTCTCAGTTTATTTCTTTAGTCTTCCAGCAAAGACATGACATTTGTGTTCTGTTTTCTTGTGGGATTGGTACAGATTTCTGCACACCAAAATTTGTTAATGTCATTTTGTATTACCATGGCCTGAGTGTACATTCATTTTAGATCCAAAATTCAACATTCAGTTAGGAAATTTACTAACACACCTAATCACTTTGGAGTTTGAAGACATACAGAATTTTTTACTTTAGAGTCTTTTATTAATTATCAAATCACACTTTTTGAGCAGTTGTTAGTAATTTATTTTGGGGATTTGTGAATAACAGTAATAATACTTAACACATTGAATCCTACTATTATCCTGTTATTATTTGTGAATATTAATCATAATAAGTGCACAAACTGGATCTCTCTGTAAAACTAGTACAGGGGGCCGTTACATGACTTCTTTTACCAAAAGAAGATCTATGGGTAATTCTGAAACTTTTTTGAGCTGTAATTATTAACAAATGGTCATAAATATTTAAGCCATGTTTCTTAATAGTTTATATTTCCAATGTAAAATCTTTGGAGATGAAGTAATAATGACAAGTGGTAAATATTTGTGTATTGTGCAGTCATTACCACATCACTGTGTGATAATCTCTCAAAAAGATCAAGGATTATTTCATTTATTGAAAATCCAACCACTGTTACATTATAGTTCAGTGTGGCTGTCACCACTATGGTGCTAATGGTGCTTTCAGCTTTATGACAGAATGTAATAGAATTTAAAAAAAAAAAAACAGCAAAAAAACCCAAAACTTTTTAGCTTTTCTTAAGAAAACACCCACCAAAATTTGCTTTCATTTCATAAGATTCATATTATTTGGCATGAACTTGCTTGGTGTTTATTATTGAGACCTTCTTTCAAATGAAATGTCAGGATTTCTGAATTCACCTGTTGGTAACAACAGAAATTGTTGCCTGCAATTAAAATCTTACCTGGGCTTGGGAGGAGTGTCTGAATTCCTCCTTGGATACTTTGCTGTCATACAAAATACTTAAACTGGGTTTTGTCCCAGTACAAGCAATGTTTGCAGTTATAGGTGATGAAATTGAAGTAGGATTCAATGTATTAATTCATAATTAAATGGTTTAAAATAAAACCAGTGTGGGGATCATATTACCAGAATGTAAAGATACAGAAGTAGCCTTCTACCAAAATATAGGCCTAATGTCTCTCTGAAATGTGCCCTTAAAATACCTTATTTTCAATGCAGGATGTGAGTCCATATTAAAATAATTTTAATGTACTAATCAGAATAAAAAGGCAAATAAATTCAAAAAGTCCATGTAATTCAAGTATTTTATAGGTGATGATTGTATCTCATTGTAGGTCTTTATTTTCTTTTTAAATTTTGAGCTTGTTTATACGTACTATGTAGAAGAGTTGAGGTTATCCTAAGAAAAATGTCCATTCTCTGACTTTACTTATGCAGTGCAAGGACTGAGGATTTAAATATTTTCATTACAGAAGTGTTGTGAGGTTTTTAATTTTTTAGCAACTGACAAAACGAGAGGACGGATTTTGGGTGTTAGAAAAATTTTGACAGGAAATCAGAGTAGAAAAGACAGATTCTTTCCCTAATACGGAATCCAGATGAACCAAGATTGATTTGATTAATAGTAGTAATGATAAAATTGTGGTGCATTAAGAACTCAATCCAGTAGAAACACACAATATTAATTTCAGTGTGTAAGTTTGAGCATACAGGCTGTGCATGAATTTGTGTTCTTGGAGTCCCGTGCCTTGTACTCAAACACAGAACACGATCCATTTTAAACAGCTTCTGTTGTAAATAAATATTTTTAAACGTGCACAAATAATTACTCAAAGCTATGTACCTTCTGAAAATAAATTAGTAAGACAAAGCAATCTTTTTCCATAATTACCCTTCCCCAAAGCTGCCTAAACATGTGTGCAACTCCCATTTCCAGAGCCAGCTCACTACGTGGATTTTCTTGACATGTTTTGAAAGTACACTTTGGTTGAACCCAAATATTGCGAGTTTGCACTTAAAAGAAAATGTCTGTCTCAAACAGTAGCACAAAGTAAGATAAGAATGGATGCCCAGCCCAGCCTGCACAACAGGATTGCTACCATGTTGTTAGAATAATTATATTTTGGCTGAACTAACTAATTTAGAAAAACTGCAGCATATCTAGCAAGACTGAAAACTTTCCAAGACTGGTTTTTTGGGTTGTTTGGTTTTGGTTTTTTTCATTTTTAATATAATTTAAAACAATACCTCTTCTAGCTGCCAACAAAGTCTTTCCCTGAATCTCACCATTCCTGGCTTCCCTCCTAACCATGTCCTGGCTCCCCTCCAGAGCTGCCAAGTTTATGCCAGAAGCAGGAGGTATATTTGTATGGGGCTGGAGGAAGATCTGGAGCTCTGTTAAATTTTCCAGCCCAGATGGGGCAACATGATTTGTGTGTTTATGTCAGTGTGCCATACATCACAACTATCTGTGTGCTGACGTCAGCTTTGATTGGGCATTAATGTGCTGAGCACTGCAAACTGCAAAATACATGATAGATACAGATCTATGGCAACAATGCCACATAAGCAAATGTCTGTTTGGTGTGGCCATTCACTGTGCAAAATATTTCCCGAGATACACTGCATTAAGCCAGGGGAATATTTTGACACACTTCAAAAACAAAAACAAAATCAGCGTGGGCAAAGAGAGCACCATTTATGAAAACAAACCCTTTCGGAGGAGGAGCTGAAACCCAACATATTAGGCAGATATTGAGGTGCTGTCCCTCACTTGAATCTTAATTTTGAACTAAAACCAAATAGGAGGATGCTATTCTTACGATTTGCAGGGCTGTCAGTGATGGGGATGTGTTGCTGGTGGTTGAGCACCTTTCTTTCCACAGTTTTTGTAGCCCATTGTTATCAAAACTGGTAAGCAAAAACATCAACAGACAGCAAATGTTTTTCTTTTTCAAAGGATAGGATATTTTTTCTGTATCAGGAGTTTAGCTTTCTTTCCAGGAATCATCAGTGTTTATTTATTTATATAAAAGTTTTGTGTTTCTTACTTACACAAATAGCATCCAGCAGCCTCCTGAAGAGCTGACAGAAGATGGCATTTTCTGGTCTGTGGGATTACAGAGGTCACTGACTACTTTAGATTTAGATTTATACCATCTTTGTGTGATTGCCCCCATGGAATAAAGATTCCATTAACATATAATATATTGTTTCTCTCTTCCTAGAAGAGGAAATGATTCGCAAGCCAGCTTTACAATTTCAGGGGCAGATACAATAGCAAGGTGTAGGGATTGGTGGGTGGGCAGTGTCCTTTTGCCTCACATCACTGCTCTTATTCCTCAGAAAGGAAATTCTGTAGGATGACACCACTTTATCATTCTCCATGCTCAGGTTTGTGGGTAAAATGGAAGCTCCCTGATTCCACAGGGATGGATGCTCTTGGCCTGTGCACAAGAGGCTTTGGAAAGAGACCCCTCCCCAGGATTTGATGCCATCTGGCCCAGAAGGTGGGGAAGGGAGGGGGTGGGAAGGTACCATGGGATCTGTGGCTTTAGGGCTGGTAGCCTGAGCAGATTGGGCTGTGCCAGACAGGCCACAACTTCATGTAGAGGTCAGAAAACAGAGTTCAGTTTATTCTTTGACAGGAGCAGATTTTCACCTTTGGAGTCTGCTCCGTAAGCTTCTCTGTGGCTAGAAAATAATGGTTATTGAAATGTGGAAATAGTTGGGAGGTTGATCACCATTTTAATAAACCTGAATGTCAGTACAGATTGTAACATATCTGGGGATGTTTTAGTCCCTCTGCTCCTAATTGATAAACTGTTATTGTGGAATAGTTTACCAGTATTTAAATTGACCTTTCAGAACAAGCAGAAGTCATACAGTTTATGAAAAAAATGCAAAATGTACAAAATACTCTGAAATTAATAAAAAATACAAAACTATAACCTGGAGCTGCAGAGCTAATTCCTTATAATTGTAGTGGGTATTTTGAGGTGATTAGTCTTGATACCCCTGAAGGTTTGATAAATGTAGCACCTACAACCACCAAGAACAAGAGTATTATCCCAGCTGTCCAGGTACCTTTAAGATAACTATTTCTTATCTTCAAGAAATATTTTGATTTTTACCACAGAATTTTTTTTTCCTCATTAAATACTGACATCATCAAAGAACATTTTTTCTAACTTACCTCTGAAGATCTCTGTTGTGACCTTTGAATGTCTCTTTCTGCTATATAAAATTGAGTAAAGAAAACCACGTGGAAAACAGCTTATTTAAGGCACTTTACAGTACATTGTGGAACAAGACATAAGACAACACTTAAAAATCACAAATGTATTGAGAAATGGTAATGCTGCTTGAAGCTTTAGAGCCATATGTTGTGCAGAGAGAAACTTTTAGGGGGAATAATGCTAAGAAATTAGCAATGAGTTTTCCATGTTGCACTGATAGCCAAAACGAATAAATGTGTGGGTTCTGCTTGCTCAAAATATTAGAGTTGATATATCTAAGTGTACTAAAAACCGTGGTTTTCAGAACCCAGACAAAAACTGGGCATCAGACTCGCAGCAGAAATCAATGAGAGATAAGCCTAATACATGGCTCATAAATATTGCTGATGTGAGCAAATGCTTCTTAGGAAGATGTAGGGAAATGTTAATTTAGTGCTAAGTTATCCTTGTCAAATATTTGTTTTCTTTAGACACATACTTGAATTATTTTTTAATTTTTTTTTTTAAGAAAAAAAGCCTTCTAACATAATTTCCAAGTATTGATGACCTATTTTCCCCCCACAGTTTGTCACTGAGAAGACCAAGGCTTGCTCTATGCACATTAATTACCTTTTTCATCACGTAGGATGTGTATTTTGTTTCTATGTCTTACAGAATAAAGCAATTATGGAACGTGTAACAAACTTGTCAGATATGGTGGTTGGTCTTGAATCATTTATTGGCTCTGAGAGAGAAACCAATCCATTGTACAAGGATTACCACGGTGAGTTCCATCCTCAGCAAGGCAAAAAGTCTGCCCTGGGTGTTTCTGGGGCACTTAGCAGCTCACCCTCCAATTGGGTATCTGCTCTAAAGCAGCGTTTGATTTCATTTTGGAATTATACCTCTTAAGTGTTTCCCCTTGCCTAAGCAGCCTTGAGTTAGGGAAATTTGCAGCAGAAGTGCATTAGGGCTGCAAAGGAAACATGGCAACTCCTTGCATGTTGTCAAGCTGCATTACTGAGGCATGGCTCAATCAGATGTACATCTCACCAGGCAGCCTTTGGGGAATTCACATGCAGGGCAGGCTTGGCAATCATCTGACCAGCGAGCTGAACTTGTCATGAAATCAATACTTTCTGATCTGCCAAGCTGTAAATTGAGAACACGGGAAAACATGTCTTTTAGTTAGTAAGGTGAATAAACTGCTGAATTATGTGCTGGGTAGGCTTTGTCTGAAAAATAATGTTCTGTTTTGTCAGCTGTAGGTTACAGCGCTTGCACTTTTAAGGAAATGAATGCGGGCACGTAAAATATGAAACTGATTTTGCTAAAAAGTCATGTAGCCTTTCAAGTGTTTTATCTTCAAAATGGGTAATGCTGCTTAATCTTGCTTTTTGTTTCCCAAGGATTTTTATCAGCTGTTGCAGCGGAACTATTTAAATTTTAAAAATTATATTAGAAGTTGTGCACAGCCAAAGCAGCCAATAACAGTTTTAGCTAATCCAGAGCAGTGCTCAGACTGTGCATAAATTACAGCTTTAATTATTGTGATATTACTGTAGTTCCATGGAAACCTTTAGCTGAAAGTAAACTGCTTATCTGAAATCTGCTGTAAACACATGACAGTGACAGTTTTCCCTAGCAGAATGTATGGAGTATGCTGAAAAAAAGCAAAGATGGTGTTGAAACACCACTGTGTGTATGCAAGCTGTAATTAATAAATCAGAGAAAAATCTTTCTGACTGTGAAAGTAGTGCACATTTCATTATCTGAAAAAAAAAAGGTGAATGAAAAAGAAGCCGTGAACAAAAGCTGGAAAAATTTGCCTAATTATTTTTCCAACTGTATAATCGTGATATGGCCTTTGTTTATGCTAACATAATTCTGTCAATTTAATACTCCTTTTTTCATTACTGAGGAGATCCTTTAGGACAATGTGTGTTTTAGCAGTTACTGCCTGGTTTCCTCTAAAAATGTATGCTGAGCCATTTCTGGTGCTGTTTAATACAAATTATGTGCCAATATACATAGCTTTTGAGATTTGCACGACCTTAATTTAACAGTCTGAAAAGAGGTATTTCTAATGGTTTTAACTTTGTGGATTCTTTTTGCCTAAGAACGTATTTTAAGGTATTTATTTACTGCAGATGATGACAGATTTTGACATTACTCTGGAGAAGTTTGATTACGTTACTGCATTATTTAATGAGTCCTCCTTAATAATTTTATTAAGCTGCCTGCAAATTTAATTGTTTGAAAAGCCTCAAAATAAAAAAAGAATTATATAGATGACCCCTAAATAAAATTTCTAGGGTACTGTATATAAGAAACCCTGTGTTATACCTGCTGTTCCTATATGTAATAATTAGATTTTGTACTCAAAACCTAACAAATAATTCTTCTAATTCACTGGCAAGGATAGAAGGTTTTAAACTGTAATAACACTTTTCTAATATTATTGAGAATTTTTGTAATTAGTGCCTGTAAAAATGCTGCTTTTTAAAGTATTTCAATTTTAGGAAACTTCCTGTAAAAGAAATAAATAAATGCCTGAAAAAATACTTGCCTTATTTTAAAAAAGGGCTTTAATATTTGGGGATTTTCTCACAGCTGCCGTTTTGAAGTCAGGTACCTTCTCTAAATGTTCAGTATTTCCATTTAGACGCTGGCTTTATGAATAGCAAATATAGGCCAGTAATTGAGAAGCCCTGTAGAATTTTCCTGGTTTTCAGACGTAGAAAATCACCCTTAGGTTGTTCAGAGACTATATTAGGCTGCACAAAAACCATCCAGCGTCCTTGTCAGAAAAAATCAGCCTGAGTTGCAGCTGACAGAACACAGAGCTTGCAGTGCACCTAGTGCTGTTAAAAACATCTGAGCAGCTCCAGAAATCTCCTGCAGGAGGAAAATTTCTTTCTTCTGGGGTGGCACGGGGGTTAAAAATCATTAAAAAGCGTCACCTGGAGCGGGATTCCCCAGAAACTTTTTTTTCCAAGGCACGGAAGGAAGGAATTCTCATTAGAGCTTCAGTGGTTATCAGTAACCCATGAGCCTTGTTTTGCTGGCTGCTTACTGGTGCATTTAATAAAATAAAGATCACTCCGTGGTGCCGTGGGCAGCGTGCAAGGTGATAGCCACATTTGCTTACTGTAAATACGAGGGGAAATCACACACAAACCGGCTGTAGTTTTGACAAGTATTAAGATGGCTCTTTACATCTGTACTCCTGTACCCAAGTGCAATTAGTTTTCCTCGCGCAAGGATTTGTGTTTATCTTATTCTGCTTGATTACTTGAGCATAATCGCGCCGTTTGCTTCATTGCTCCTGGTAGTAAGCTCCAGTTTAAAAAGGGGAGGATGAGTGTGTGTAAATATACAGAATTCTGCTGTAAGACTCTAATTTATGCATCTGGATGACAGCGTTTCCTTAAATTATTTTTTCCCCCCCTCCTTTACTCTTTCTTTCCACAAGGTTTGGTTCATGTACATCAGATTCCTCGGCTTAATAGCTTGATCTGTGATGTGTCAGACACGAAGGACCTTGCTTTTAGATTAAAAAGGAAGCAGTTCACCATCGAGGTAAGAGAAAACGTTGTTTCACTGTTTAGAACCCAAAAGGTGGAGCTAATCCCATCTCTTCTGTTTCGTTTTGTTGAAATACATAAAACATGCATCAGATGATGTCAATTCATTTCGTTCTGGCTTTGCTGTTCGGAAGGGGTTTGTAAAATACTGTAATATGCCTTCTAATTAAAAATGTCTCGTTTGCTGCACTCAATCGGTCTGCTATAAATACTTTATTTTGGTTTAAAATGTACATAGAAAGTAGGCCACAACCTTCAATAACAAAGCATGACATGTTTCTAAGGATGTCAGGAGCATATTTAATTAAATGTTAATGACTTGCTCTTACTTATGTTAGTGGGTGGGAAAGTAGCTACATGTTATTACCCCAGTAGAGGGATTTTAATGTATAATGTTGCCTAAAATTGTGTGTGGTATGGGGGATAAGTGTCCTTATCAGTATTCAGAAACCATTTTCTTTGCATTACTGAAATCACCTTTCGCTCTTTTATGTCATTTTAAACACAGTATCATTTACACTAATGTCCTTAAGTAAATTTCCTACTAAATTTAAACTTTTTTCTGTGACCTTTATGCAGACAGTCCTGATAGAAGGCAGTTATACAAAAGATGTATTTCATTTTAATCTTGCTAAAGAGCAAATGAACATAGCACTATTAAGCAATTAGAGCTGATGTATTTATTAACCAAGTGATGCTTAGAGATGGAAGATGGCTTTCAGGGTGATGCAATAGTCATCGGTACAGTCTGGGCAATTTTTTTTTTTTTTTTTTTTTTTTTTTAACAAAGACATAAAACAGCCAAGCATCCCTGACAAACCATTTTGTTTAATCTCTTTTCAAATGAAAAGCTCTTAAGCAGGCCACTTGTCTTAACTGCTTGAAACCATAAAAAGAGAGAATTGCCACCAATAAATTAGCATATTTTTTACTCCATCACCAAATGCTGGTCAATGTGGCTTGGCACTGCTTTGGTGTTTGGGACTTCACCCTTAAGTGACCACTTTGGCCCTTATTTGACCCTCTGCCCTTTTTAGCTGGCCACTTGATAAGGTAACTTAAGGGTTCTCTCTCTTCACTGCCCCCTCCCCTTCACAATTGCAAGTAGCCCTAACCTATAAATCATTGAAAGGGCCCTATCAAGTGACAAATTAAGGTGCCCTCCTCCTAATTAATGGTCATCAATGTCTTTAATTATCTAATCCTATTGAAAGTAGTTAATAGTTAATCAGGCAGCCAGTTCTTCATGCAGGTCATCTCTGCGTGAGTGCTAGAAGTTTCTCAACTAGAGGTATCCTCTTCAGAAGCCACTTAAAGGCAAACACATGGAGGAGGGCTTTCTTCCCCCAAGACAATTCCTTTATAAGGTTTGTCACTTTCCAGAGAATGCAGCGAGTGAAACCAGGCATGGTGAGTGTTAAAGCATTTGAACAACTGCTTTTGAGCGGTACAGTAGAAACAAAACCCTTGGTAGTCTGGTTTTGGTTTTAAAACACAGATTTCTCTCTGTTTCAGAGGTGTAGAGAAGCATGCACCCTCATTTCACAGCATAGTAAATGCTCATTTATTGTAGCTGTGAATTGGGATGTTTGGGTGGTTTCTCATCCCTGAGTCCTCTCTCAGAATACAATTTTCTCTTCCAGACGCATTTGAGATTCTAATCTGTAATGTAATTTGGAAGGAAAGAAAACTCTTAGCAGGAGGCTCTGTAAAAAGAATTGAATTAGCCATGGGACACTGGAAACAGGAGTGAAGTGCAACTCTTGAAACAACCTGTTGCCTCAGACATGCGTAGATGACCCACTTGTATAATTTCTGCCTTTGCTGCTCAGCTGCAGCCCCTTTTGAATAACTTCAGGTTTTGTTAGAGATATGCTTTCTGTAAGCTGAACTGACACAAACTGTCCCTTTTTGAACGTGTTAGACCACTGTCCTACTGTGATCTTCCTGTACACGTTTCACTAATCTATAATAGATATGTTTTTCCTCTCATACTGTTAAGGAAAGCAGACTACAGAGAGGCTGGCTGGAGCAAGAAGGGCAGTAAGAAAATGGGAGCAAGGGAAAGTTGAATTAGGAAAGGATGTGAATAAGGTCTTCTAAAATGGGTTTCTGCAGTTAGAATGTGATGTGTCAGCAGTCAGTCAGCGCTGGTTCTGGGGGCAGGAGCAAAAAGCAGCACAGCAGTGTGCATTGCAAGCACTGTGCATGCCTTTACAGAGTGCAATGAGTTAGGACTTCAGTATGTAGCTTAAATATGAAATTAAAATGCATATTGAGTACCTTAGAGTTTTTGGAAAGATTCTACGTACTTATATACACAATTTAGGATAAAAATATTGACCTCTACTTGAAATGCCACTTTAAAATCAAATTGCATAAGAAAAGCTAGAAACACAGAACATGTGAATTATGGTGAAATTTCTTCCAAAAGGATTTTCATCACTAGACCATTCTTTTTTTAGAGTTTAAAACAAGAGCATGGGACATGGATTTTCTCATCTCTGGATTGCTCACCAGTTAAATAACTCCTTATAGTTTGGCCCTCACAGGTGGAAAACGTTGAATGTCAAATCGATTTTATTAGATTGCAGTTTTGTGGGAGGAACTCCGCCTCTTTATAGCCTCCGGAATCTTTTAACTGTTTCAGTTTTCCTCGTGTCTTCTTCATCAAAATAACATTGACTGAAATGTTTTCCAAAAAGATTTTTTTTTTTAAATTCAGGATGAAAATGGTTATTTTAATGAATATTTATGAGTGCTCATTGTCCATTTATAAATTATGAAGAGGAACCTTTCCAGGAAAATTGCCATGTTTATCTAAAAGGTGCAGTAGCTATTTCAAGCTTTCCCAAAGCTTCACACATTAGTTACTAGCAATATTCTCCTATATGCAGCATTATCAGAGATCTATCTTATGTGCATGCCACTTTAAAGGACACAATTTTGAAGTTAGCCTGTCTAATCCTATTTCTTCCCACTTTGGAATCTTAATTAGAAGGAGATAAAAACCATCATTTGACTAAATTATTGTCTCGAATCTGTAGCAAAAGGTATAATCCGCAATTGGGCCAATTAGTGTACCCCATAGTTAGCTATGCTGAGGCAGGAAACTTGATTAGATCTGACACCAGCCTAGTTCCCACTGTTGTTTTGCCAGGTATGATGGTCAGACTTCAAAGGGCTTGAGGCATCAGCAGGGCAAGGTTTGGAGGCCAGCTTAGGTCCGGTCGTTAATCTCTCTGCTAAAACCACAGCAGCCCTCGCACAAAACAAGCTTACACGACACAATCATGCGGTATTAAAGTTTGGGTTGAGTCATGCCAATTTGCCTTTGATTTTCTGATGATTGACTAAAAGATGGCTACATGACTAGACACATACTGAACGTTTACTGATTAGGTAAGTTCCCCAAATATTTGAAATATTTTTTGATTTCTCTGTGAAATGATATGACAACCCGCTCGTCTTAATGCGGCCGTTCAGCAGAGTTGTTCTTGAAGTGCTTTTGTTTGCTTGCTTTGTAGCTCTGAGTGTAACTTTTATCAACATTTGAGAAATTTTGTAGGACCATTACGTTCATAGTTTTATTTGACAGAACTTTATATTTGTTGTTCCAAAGCCTCCTGTGTCAAGACTTAAGGAATCTCTGCTTAAATTTGGTTTTTTTCGCTGCTCCAAATTTCTACGGAAACATTGTTTATCTTTCTTATTTAGGTAGATTTTTAATTACTTGCCAAAAGGACATTTTCCCTTAATTATTTTCCACCTCACCATCGAGTAAAGCACTGTTCCACGGCTGTGATTACATAAGTGTTCCTTTCTTTTGCAGTCTGATTTGTTCAAATATTGCAGTAACAGTGACATGTTTCCATTCTGAGAAAAGCCTAGGGCTGCTTTAGTATTATTCCAAATGATTGAAATTGCCATCTTGCTGACTTTCCCTTGGGCAGCTTAGGGCCTGTTTACTTTTGTATTTGTTTCACATGTTCCCTCTGAGTTTGGCTGGCAGGACATCATTACCTGGTTTGACAAGACAGTTGGAGAAGATTCATATTTGATTAACTCCCTTTGTTATTGTCTGGACAACACAGACCTCTGAAATTATCTATTTAAAGTTAAAACTCCCAATACATTCAGATAAACGCTTGCAAATAGGAAAGTTTTTGAGGGTGTTTTTTTAATTCCCTAGTTTTGCTGAATTTAAAAGTCTTCAAGTTACTGTCAATTATTAGAAGTATAGAGACAAAACTTTTGTCCTGGAAGTTTTTATATTATAGTTTGTCTAATAAATAGTTGTTGTGCAAATACATTTTTTTAGCAAAACACAAGTCACAGCAGCCAATATTTTCTTTTAATTGGCTACGCCACCTGTGCAGCCCACAATAAAAATCTTTAGAAGCCGGCTCAGTTTGGAGCCAAATGTCATATATGATTTAAAGAATTGCCACACAGCAAAAAACAAGTTTCCAGAGCTTAATGTACAAGTTCAGGAGTTTCTTTCTGAGAGGTGTTTCCTAACAGGAGGGGAAGAAATGAGAGGAGCCCTGTGGCTGGTTTCTCAGAGCAGGGCAGATGCAGAATGGCACTGTGGAGCACTCTGTATTTCATTTACCCCATGGTAATTGCCAGTGTAAAAGGTTCTGTCTTTGGAAGGAAACATAACCACCAAAACCAGCAACTGAGCCTATACAGAATTAAAAATAAACATGTGATTCCAAAAGCATTCAGATAGTGTCCCATCTTCATCTGGCAGTAAAAGACTGTGAGAAAATTGATGATTGCCAAAATAAATAATTGCAACTCCATGTATTCCTTGTGTCTGTTGTGTGTCCAACACTGGTATTTGGAAGGTGACTTCAAATTCTTTAAGGTGGTGATTTTGGCCATTTAAAACAGAACTGTGGCTTAGGTAGCCTCCATCTGACTCTTTAAGGTCATTTTGGCCATTTAAAACAGAACTGTGGCTTAGGTAGCCTCCATCTGAAATCTCTG